CACCAGGATAGAATTGGCAATTATGAATATTCCTTCTCCACTTCCAGACTAGCAGGCCTGAGTAGTTCAGAAATTAGTTAATAATATGGGAGAGGACAAATAAAAGCAAGGAAGGGAAACAGAAGCAAACCACACCTTTCCTCTCCCATTTGCAACAGACTCAACCGCAGGGACTAAAAGCCTTACAAGAAACTAAAGCAAGTCTGAGGCTTTCACTATTAGCTAGGACTGAATGTTTTCATTTTTAATCTATCTTTTGCTATTTGAAATGAACAGAAAACTGTATATGTTACCCCAAATATCATACCTGCTCCTTACCGAGTTCTCATCCAGGCCAAGTAAAGACCTTACCTCTGATTTAAGCAGCAATGAGGTCTAAGAGTAAATGCTACTTTGTGCACTACTCCTTCACCTTGACACATCATTACTACATACTAATTATTTCTAAAATCTACATGCTTAACTAGCTGACAAATTGATACAAGAAATAAGAGTTGTGAATGGGAGAACATCTAAGGAGTTAAATATTTTATAAAGTAAGTTCACACTGAAATTCTTTCAAGTTTACTTGTAACATTTTTTTCAATACAGAAAATCATTTCTTTAGTACATAATGCATTAATGAAAACACATAGAAAATCAAATGGAAGAAACTTGAACACTGGGCTTACATAATGGAGGCATGAAAGTTGGCTCCCTAAGAGGTAAAACATTTACCCAACCCTAAATTATGTCACATGTCTTATTTTTAGTCATAATCTCTGACAATAAATTTCTAATATTTCCTTTTTGTTTTTTTCTATTCATATTCAATGTGTAGTTGACTAGTAAAGTCCAATAATATCTGGTTGAGGTTAATATTTTCTAACATAATCATAATTGTCTTAAGTTATTAAGATTAGTAACTATTAATTTTTAAATGGCATCAGCAGCCCAGACAACGGGGCTCAGAGGGTGAGCATCGACCTAGGATCCAGGAGATCGAAGTTTGATTCCCAGTCAGGGCACATGCCGGGGTTGCAGGCTCAATCCCCAGTCGGGGGTGTGCAGGAGGCAGCCAGCCGATCAATGACTCTCTCATCATTGATGTTTCCATCTCTCTCTCTCTCTCCCTCTCTCTGAAGTAAATAAAAATATATTTAAAATAAAATTAAAAATAAATGGCATCAGCACTTCGATTTTTTTCCACTTGCTCTATTTTTTAAAAATAAAGGGAAAATGCCATAAACTATTCAATAATTAAACAAAATTTTTGTACAAAGATGTCTAAGTGCTAAAACTGCAGTGCCATGATGCAATGGGTCCTAGTATTCACCTGTTAACTAATATTTTTTAAAAACTTACAACTTTACAAAATTATGAAATATAAAAGTTATGGACAGTCTGCAACTTGGGGAGGAGGGAAAATTAATTTGTGTGATTTGGTTTAAGCAATTTACACCCATACATATGTATATATATGATTCTATGATCCTAATAAATTTATAAAGTACTTTTTGTTCAAAGTGTTTTAAATAACTACGATACGTATTTATGTCTATCAATGTTCTCATTCAAGTAGATGCTCTTTTTTTTTTATTATTTACCTCCATTGTTAAACAATCAACCATTCTCTTTAAAACAAAGCAAACCAGGAGAACTTTTCAATATTTTTCTTTACATTCTTCTGTTCTTCATTATTTCAATAAATTGTTTTTATTATTATTTGTTCAATACACTGTCTTCTGTATAAAACTGTATTTGCTAGAAAAACCCTGCTATTCTAATATAATACAATTACATTAGGACACTCATACAACTTTTAAGCAATAGCTTTCCTTGTTACAGAGAAGCAATTTACCCTAGGCTACACAATATGATAGTTAAAAGCTCAGGCTCTCATGTCAAAGTACTTCTATTCAAATTACAATTCTTCCACTCATTCGCTGTGACCTTAGCAAGTTACTTAATTTATCCAAGCCTCTGCTTCTGAAACTACAAAATAAGGATTAAAAATAGCTGTAAAGGTAAAATAAAATGAGTGGGTAAGACATTTAGCAAAGTATATGGTATTTTAAGTCATTTAAAAAATATTTTAGCTGCTGTTTTAATTTCTGGTGTATACATATTTAATACTCTAAGACAGGAGTTGGCATAGCCCACTGGCTGAACCCTGCCCACCACTTACTCTTGTAAGGTCAAGTTTAATTAGAACAGCTAAATTCAGTCCTTATGCATTGCCTACAGCTGCTTGCATGCTATAATGGAATAACTGAGTTGTAACAGAGACCAGATAGCCCACAAGGCCTAAAATATTTACTATCTGGCTTTTTCATAAGAAATTTGCTGATCTGTAATGTAGGAAGATAAAAACAAACTAAAAATATAATGCTACAGAATGATAATATAGATGGTATAAATGGAGCAAGATAACCAAGTTAACTGATTTCTATCTAAGTCAATAAATTCAAAGCAATTAGCAAACATATGGCTGTTCTCCTTTTCCACAAAAAAGCAAGCATTTCGAAACTAGAAAAGTGCCCAGCCAGTGTGGCTCAGCAGTTGAGCATCAACCTATGATCCAGGAGATCAATGTTCGATTCCCAGGCAGGGCACATGCCCAGGGGCGCGCAGGAGGTAGAGAATCAATGACTCACTCTTATCATTGATGTTTCTATCTCTCTCTCCCTCTCCCTCCCCCTCCCTCTCTTTGAAATCAATAAAGATATATTTTTTAATTTTTTAAAAGCAATTAACAAAACTAAAAATGTCCTTAGTGCTTCTAAGTTAAAAATTTTTTTCCAAATGGAAGGCACTCCAGGTGTACTTAATGCAATCCATTTAGTCATTGTATTGGGTCATAAGCAAAGTATAGTTTTCTGAAATAAATCATATTGAAAAGTATATCTGAAAGATATCTATGTAAAAGAAACTGTGTAAGGCACCATGAAGAATTCATAAAGGATAGGACAGAGTAAACTTTAAACACCTTCTAGTTAGCAGAAAAATAATGTCTAAGACTTTTCAAAAGCAGAGTTGAGTGCATTTCTTTATAATTTCTATATGTTTTAAACTTTATGTAAGTAAAATAGATTTCTTTGCCCACTTATAACCTACACAAATTGAAAAATTCAAAAATGTATTACTTGGAGAACCCTAAAGACTCCACCAAAAAACTACTAGAACTGAGAAATAAGTTCAGTAAAGTAGCAGGATACAAAATAAATACTCAGAAATCAGTTGCATTTTTATACACAAAAAAATAAACCATCAGAAAGGAAAACTAAGAAAACAGTCCCATTTACAACTGCATTTTTAAAAACCACCTAGAGATAAATTTAACCAAGGATGTAAAAGATCTGTACTCAGAAAATTATAAGACACTGAAAAAAGAAATTGAAGATACAAATAAGTGGACGAACATACCGTGTTAATGGACACAATTAACATCATTAAAATATCCATATTACCCACAGCAACCTATAGCTTCAGTGCAATTCCTACCAAGATACCAATGGCGTATTTCACAGAACTCGAACAAATATTCCAAAAATTTATACGGAACCACAAAAGACCCCAAATAGCAACAGTGATCTTGAGAAAGAAGAACAAAGTTGGAGGAATCACACTACCTCATATCAAACTATACTACAAGGCCACAGTAATCAAAACAGCATGGTACTGGCATAAAAAGAGACATATCGAGCAAAGGAACAGAATAGAGAGTTCAGAAATAAACTCATGCCTTTATGATCAATTCATATTTGACAAAAGCGGCAAGAGCATACAATGAGGTAAAGACAGTCTACTATTCAATAAATGGTGCTGAGAAAATTGAACAGATATGTGCAAAAAAAATGAAACTAGACCATCTTCTTACACCATATACAAAAATAAACTCAAACTGGATTAAAGACTTAAATGTAAGACTTGAAACCATAAAAATCCTAGAAGAAAAGATAGGCAGTAAAATCTTGAACATTTCTCTTAGCAATATTTTTTCTGATATATCTCCCTGGGCAAAGGAAATAAAAAAAAAAATAAACAAATGGGACGGCCAATAGACATATGAAAAGATGCTCAAGGACACTAATCATCAGAGAAATGCAAATTAAAACCATGAGATATAACCTCACACCCGTCAGAATGGCTATTGTCAATAAATCAACAAACAACAAGTGTTTTTGAGGATGTAGAGAAAAGGGAACCCTTGTGCACCTGTTGGTGGGAATGCAGATTGGTGCAGCCACTGTGGAAAGCAGTATGGAATTATCTCAAAAGTATAAAAATGGAACTGCCTTATGACCCAGCGATTCCACTTCTGGGAATATATCTGAAGAAACTGGAACACTAATTTGAAAAAAATATATGCACCCCTTATGCTCATTGAAGCATTATTTACAATAGCCAAGATTTGGAAGCAGCCCAAGTGCCCATCAGTAGATGAGTGGATAAAAAGCTATGGTACATTTACACAGTGGAATACTACTCGGTTATAAAAAAAAAAAAGAAGGAAATCATACTTTTTGCAACAGCATGGATGGACCTGGAGAGTATTATGTTAAGTGAAATAACCCAGTCAGAGAAAGGCAAATACCATATGATTTCACTTATATGTGGAATCTAATGAACAAAATACACTAATAAACTAAATAGAAGGACTCACAGATACAGAGAATAGATTGACACCTGTCAGAGGGGAGGGGGTTGGGGGGCTGGGTGAAAAGATTAAGCAAAAAAAACAACAAACAAAATACAACTCACAGACACAGACAACAGTTTGTTGATTACCAGAGGGAAAGGGGGGCTGGAGGGAGGTAGAAGAGGATAAAGAGGGCATAAATGGTGACAGAAGGAGACTTGACTTTGGCTGGCGAACACACAATACAACATACAGATGATGTTTTATAGAATTGTACACATACAGATGATGTTTTATAGAATTGTACACTTAAAACCTATATAATTTTATTAACCGTCACCCCAATATATTCAGTAAAAAAATTTTTTTAATGTATTACCTGAATTGAATGTTCACTAAATGAGGCTGGGAGCCATCCGATTGCCAATAAGTTTCTAGATTGTCATCTCGTAATTGATCCACTCCAAATCCTAAAAACACCACAAGTGACAAATTCTTATGCTAAAGAAAGAGCTATATATTTAAAATATAAAAGTACCATATGTATTTGTCCAGAAAGGTTGATAAAGAGGATGGTTTAAATGCTTCTAGTAAACAAGTTATATAAAAAAAAAAAAGAGACAGACAGGCAAACGCCTTCTTATTTGCATCATAACCAAAAAATAAATAAATAAATAAATAAATGGTAGAATAGCATCCACAAATTTTTGAGAGTAAAGGACTGACGACACTCAAGATTTCTATCCCAACCAAGGGTAAAATAAAGTTATTTTGGGATATGTAATCACTCAAAAAATGTATCAGCCACTTATCCCAAATAGAGAAGTAGCCAACAAAAAGAATGCTAACCAAGAACTAAATCATAGCAGAGACAGGTGAGAACAAAGAAGAGCCTTCATGGCCTATGCAGTTACATTCAAGTGTATGCTAGTAAAGCAACTGGGAAGAGACACATAACAGACAAAAACTCAAATTTACTTTAGAATTAAAATAAAGTATATAAACAAAAAGAATATTAAACAGTCCAGAACACAAGGAAACAATATACAGTTATTACAAACAGCTTTTCTTGTGTTGTTTTACCTGGTTTGCAAGATGAGAGTGACCAAACAGCTTGTGAGCCAATTTCCCGTACCGTTCCAGTCCTTTCCAGCTGCTTAGGGTCAGCGCCAGGAGGTGTCTTGTTTGGTGTGGTCATTTTAAAAATATTCTATGTAGAAAAAAAATATATCCACGTTATACCAGAACCTGAGCATCTTATTCCAAAAGGTATACATAAAAATTTAATAGCAAAATGAATCACTAATATACCCTTGATATTAATCATCTAATGCTCAAATGCAATTCATATAACTCAACCACTGTAATTTCTAAAATTTCAGGAATTCAGTTTTTGTTTCTAAAGTATATTATGTGCAAAGCAGTAGAGAGTACAGCAAGCAAAAGGCCACAGGATCAGGGTTTTAGCCTCAGTCCCTCCTTTAACAACCCGTAGACATTGGGCAGGTCTGGGCTTTATTTCCTTCCCTGTCAAGGAGGTTGACTTGACCTATAATGCTATAATGCTATAAAGTTCTATATGTCTGAGTAAAAATTCTTAATTCAAATGACATGTTTTCTCTAGAAAACTTAGATTGAAACATTTCTTATTCCAGAAATATGTGAACATTGGTCTCCATTTTAAATAACCCATTCAGTGACGCAGAGAAAAATCACATCTCCCTACTAGTTCTCAAAAGCTCCATTTATATGTGCTCTTGCCATAGAATATAAATGTCAGAAAAATGGCTTCGAAGTCTGAGTAACTGGCCTATTCTAACCCAAGAGTTTACTTCATCTTTCACATATTTTGTTAATCTTGTTAAATCTATGCAAACGCGAAAAAAATACTTTTTGGATAATGAACAGTATGTAAAAACTGCCTCGGAAATGCGAAGTTACAGCTACTGAACATCATTATACATGCTATGATAAACCTGGACCAATAGTTCCCTAAACCATCTCCTTGACACCTACTAGATCTCAGTTGTTCCCTAATCCCCACACCAGCGCTTAGATACTCACTAAATAGCAGTGCAGCCACTGGACTGTAAAATTCGTCCAGGCCTAAAACTTAAATGCTCAATTAGCAATTTTACTGAATGAATAAATGGATGAATAAATAGGTTTGATCATACACTAAAGTACTTGCGACCTGCAAGTTAAGTAAGGTCTAAGATGAGACAATTAAATCCCTGACCATCGTGATTACAAGCTGAACGTCCTGTGTCCAAAAATGTCAAATTGTCAAAAAAAAAAAAAAAAAAAAAAAAAAAAGGCCCATCTCTCTACTAGAGCAGAATTCAGCTGCTGGATCTGGTAATGGACGCCACCAAGTGGATAAAACACGGAGCTCGGGTAAGACTGAGTTCCTGGCCACACAGTCCAGAAGGAACGGAGTCCAAAGAGGAAAAGCCACCGCAAGCAGTGTCTGGACCAGTCTCTGCGGGTCCTGCTTGACACCTGTGCTAGACGGGCTAAAACGGGCAAATGCCTAACGCTCCATTCCTGACCCACCGGCCCTGCGAAGATTGAGCGCGGGAAAAAAAAAAAAGGTTGAGGTCGGGGAAAAGAACGCATGTGCTTACGGTAGAACCATTCTCCACGTCGGGAAAAGCTTACGCACTTACAGCTCGCAGACCCGGGGTGCCGGAGCTCACGGTGTTTGAATTCCCTGCGGTAGCGCCGCGCCACTCCCACTTCGCTTCTCTGGATCACCCAGCTTCCCCACGTAGAATCGGAGTCGCATTACAATGACGTCACTTCTCGCCGTCTGGCCCGGCGCTCTCAGTCGCGTGCGCGCACTACGTCCCTGAGGCATGCGCTAGGCGGCGGCTGGGTACCGCCATTTTGGCCGGAGGCCGTAGGAACACGTTGTTTAGCTGAGAAGTGACAGCCGAAGCTGACTTGGCCTCTGCGCTCCCCTCGGCCAGGGATCGTTCTCTCCAGGTACGTACATAGTTCGGAGGGGTTTGGCCGTTAGCTGCGATCTGCCACGATTTAAAGATTGTAGGGACGTTCTCCGAGAACCTTTGATTAGGCCTCAGGTGACGGCGATGGGGGCAGCCCCGGCGCGTGGCAGCCGGCGCGGGCATGGCGCGTCGCGCTTCCGCTCCAGCTGATCTGGTTCTCGGCCGCTGTTGCCCACCACCCCCGCCAGAGGCTACGAGGAGGGACCTAGATGCCATCTCAATGATCCAACCTCCGCCGCTTCCAGGCCCCCTTTACCACCTCTCCTACCCTAGAGCTGAACCTTCTAGAGAAGGCGCCCTCAGAATTTGTAGCACCCCCGTTGCCCCACTCTTCCCCTGGCACAGTCAAATGTATGTATTTCCACATGTGCGTATTTGATTATGGGGAGTCGTGACTTTTTCTTCCACCGTTTGGTGACTATGTAATGAGTCGCGGCATCTTGCCGCCATGAAGTTGAATATTCCTCGTCCACTCCCCCAGCCTTGACAGAAACGGTGGCCAGGCGTCGCTCTGCTTTTCTCATAGAACAACGTGTACCCGGCTGTAACTGGGGTGATCGCAGCTAGTATCCCAGTTGAACACTTTGAGCTTTTTTGGTGCGCTCTGATAGCATTCGGCACTTTTCCCTTCGGTGTGGCTATTACCTCTTCCCCTTGATTATGTCTTACACTCCTTGAGATCAGGGGCGGTGTCTTGACTCAAAATGCCTTTATTTTCCCTTTATTGGTTCGTGCATTGTAGTCACTACGGTCAAAGCCCTTCCACATCCCACAAACTGCATAAGCCTGTTTTTTTGTGTGTGTGTGGTTAAATCAATAAAAGTGAGAACTGTCAAAACAATGTTTTATTTTCCTTTTATCTTCCACAGGGCTGCTAACTAGGCATTAATGACAGTGGCATTTGTGTTTCAGTCCTCAGCACATTTTTCCCATGTACTGCACTGGGAATAGTCATTCTATAACCAGGTACCTGTCAGTGTTAACCAAGGGCTCTTCACCTGTATTCGAACCAAAAGGATTTCTTTTATTTTCGTTCAAGACATTGTTTTCCCCTATGAAAAATTTTTTTTAGGAAGAACATTTCATTGCTGGGGGAGTGGGAGAAAGCGATATTAATTTAGTGTCCCTTCTAAATGTCTTCAGTTTAAGATTCTGAAATCAGTTGTGTACCATTCCTAACGTGTGCGTTTTACAAGACTAATAATCTACAATAATCATAGGTTAGAGTATTTCGTGTGATATTTAAGCGTCATTTGTTAACACTGATCTTTAAATGCTTTCACATGGTATTATAGTAATTTTGGTCTTAGACTACAAATGCTTTTCATATATGCCGCACTTCCCTTGTTCCTCCCAGCTTGGAAGAATGACAGTGATGGTCATTGTTTGTTCCCAGAAGTAATTTATCACTTTTTTTTAAAATGTATATCAGCCCGGCCGGGCGTGGCTCAGCAGTTGAGCGTTGACCTAGGATCCAGGTGATCAGGGTTCGATTCCCGGTCAGGGCACATGCCTGAGTTGTGGGCTCCATCAATGACTCTCTCATCATTGATGTTTCTATCTCTTTTCCTTTCCTTTCCTCTCTCTGAAATCAATAAGGATATATTAAAAAAAAAAAAAAAAGTAAATCAGCTTAACTATCTCTGGAATGTTTTCTTTTTCTATAAAAATCATTAGTCACTCGGTTTTTTAAATGGTGTGAAAAACATTTTAGTAGTTTAGCAGATATAATTTAAGCAATTTCATGGTAAAAGATTCATCCCCTAGAGAATTCATTGCACTTATTCACTGGATAATTTGTATGGTGTCCAGTTTTATTTTAATAGCTAACTAAAGAACCTTCAGTTTTTAGGGAGCAGTCATTTCCAGGATGATAGTTTTTTGGAGCAATTTAAAAGTCATTTAATTTCTTCCTTTTCTAATCTCTATGAAAACTGAACCAGTTTTTAAAGGGTTAAAGTGAACCTATTAATATAACTTTGTGTATTACATAATATATAGTCTCCTTTTTTTTCAGTATATACTTTAGTGGATAACCATCACTGTGAAATATTGGTAACTTGAAAGATTTCTGAAGTTGTTATAACCTGTTGGAAAATTGTTTACTATATTTAAATTTATTTCTTCATTCATATGCTTCAGTTTCAGTGCTAGACACTGGTCTAGCCACTGAGATGAACAACTGGACAAAAATTCCTACCCTTTATGATGGAGTACATTCTACTTGGGAAGGGAAAAATATTATCTGTGTGTATATATAGAGAGAATATATAAATACATATATATACACATACACACGATAAATGTGTACATATACCATATATACATATATGTGAAATACATATAAACTTGTCATATAATAGAAAGAGCTAAGAAAAAACAGGGATAAGGGACAGAAAGGCAGTTGGGTATACTTTTGGGTAGTATAGCTAGAGAAGGAAGGCTCACTGAGAAGTAAAGATTAAAGACTTTAAGGAGTGAGCCATGTAACTCACTAGGGGGAATAGCATTACAGGTACAGGGAAGAGAAAATGCCAAGAGCATGAAGCAAGAAGATGTCTGGCATGTTCTAAGAACAGCAAGGAACCAACGTGACGGGCAAAATGAGCAGCTAGAGTGGTTGAAGATGAGCTCAGAATATTAACAGAGGCTGATCAGTGCCTCGTTGGTTATTTTAAGGACTTTGACTTTTATTCAGTGAGTAGGGAATCCATTACAGGATTTCAAGTTAGAGGAGTGACATGAATTGGTACATTAAGAGGGTCATTCTGGCTCCTGTACTGAGAATGAACTGTCAAGGATTGGAACAGAAGGAGGTAAAAGAAGCAAAGAGATCCGTTGGGAAGCTGTTAGAGTAACGGTGTGACAAGCTGTTTTGATGGAATGATATTCATTAGAACTTGGAATGGATTCCAGAGAAAATAGAAATTTGATACAACTGACTAGACAACTCTTTCAAGTAGTCTTGTTATAAAAGAAAGAAGATGTAAACCAGTGAAGGAAGTGAGGTCAGATAATAGTGTTTGAATGCTGATGGAATAAGCCAGTGGGAAGAATACGTGATGTGAAAGATAGGAGAAGAACTGTTGGGTCAAATGTGGGTGTCTTTTGGTGTGCAGATGGACTTAGTTCTGGAAACCGTTATAATGTGATTGCTGGTTGGCACAAGGGTTCACTTGAGGTGACACTGGGCAGCATGGCTTTGTTTTTTCTCACCCATTTTCAGCTGTTAGTGTGCAGGTGAAGAGTTGCATTGAACCAGGATTGTGCTTAAGGGTATAAATGATCAACAATGGAATTTTAGCTGGGTATGGAGGGAAATGAAGCTACAAAGGGTTGAGGAAAAGTGGAAATGTGGTCAAGCCAAGAGATAGTGATAGGAGGTCTGAGAAATGAGGGAATTCAAAGGATTGGATTGTGTATGAGAGGGGTGTACTGAAAAGATAAGAGTGGTGGTTGGTGAACAAGTTATTTGTAACGGAGGCTATAGAAGGTTTGCAGTTAATTGGTAATGACAAGGTCAAGGATTTGAAATGGAATGAGTGGCTGAGGTAGGATGAAAGACAAGAACATTGGAGGAGAGGGGTTAATAAACTGAGAGGACAGGCTATGTATAGAAGATCCTATGAACATATTGAACCAAGAATTGTGACAGGAGTTGTAAAAGGGGGTGAAAGTTAGCCAAGGTCTGAAATCCTCAGAGTGGGAGTGAGTGATCTGATGGTCAGTAAATGACATAAGAAGTTGGATGATCTGAGAGGCAAAAGCTGACTCTTAGTGAGAAGGGGGAGATAATAATAGGGAATAGCTCTGAGGAGCAAAATCTTTTATCCCTCTCCAGGCCTAATGATAATGAGGTATGTGAGAAACGCTTGAGAGGTCTACAGGGGGAAACAGTCTGTTAAACAAAAAAAAGAGGAATGAGGATCACAGTCATGGTAGAAAAACCCAACAGAATGTCTGTCAGTAAATAGGCTTTTGGCTTCAGGTTCTTTCATTAGATACTAGGAAAAACTTGAGTATTAAGGCATTTTTTTGGACTTGTTTACTGTAATAACCATTCTAAGAAAATTAAGTTCAATTTAAGTCTATCACTAAGTCCAGTGTTGTAAGAGATTTTAAGTTCACTTTGACCTGAGCTACATAATTGGTGGCACTGTTAAATATTAAGACTTAATAACAGCTTTAAAAGTGAGCACAGTCTATATATACTTAGTTTTACTTGGTTTCCTTTTCAGTGCGTTACCGTAAAATTTATCTTGTCTATATTGCAAATTCCCAGAGAAATGCAGTTTTTACTTTTTCTGCTTTATCAACTTGATGGTCAGAACCTTAGTAATTGCCATTTTCATTGGTAGTGTCATTATAGCCAGATGGATAAGACATGAAGTAATGGTTAGTTTGAGGGAGGGAGTAACGTCTTTATCATATGTATTAGTTGTCATGTCAGTTCTTTCTATTCTGTATTCATGCATTGGCCTGTATTTATTCACTGGTATCAGTGTTAATTACTGAGTCATGTTTTCCCATCTGCCAAATATACGTCTCCCCATCCCCGTGCTCTTTTTCAGTTTTCCAAGCTGTTACTACTTTTCTTTTTGCATAAGAGCTCTAAATTAGTTTGGTTAAATTTTCCTCCCCTTGAGATTGGATTAAATGTAAAGGAGAAGGCTTAAATCTCTAGTGTTAACTATTTTCTGTTGTAAAAACTGAGACACCATGTCATGCTGTTTGTTGGGTCTTTTAATGTTTTTCAGTCGTATTTTAAAAGTTGCTTCACATTTGTATGTCTTGTTGATTACTAGGTCATTTCTTTTTTTGTGACTATTGAAGATGGTGCTTTTTTCTTTATATAAATTTTTTGATTAATGGTTCATATGTAAATTTTTTGTTTTCTCAACCTTACTAAATTATTGTATTACTTTTACTAGTTTTTTTACTAGTTCCAAATAATCATATCTGAATATAGTGATAATTTATGTCCATCTATCTAACTTTTATGCCTGACTTATTTCTCAATTAATTGCATTGATTATGCCCTAATTTTGTTAATTTTTCTTTAACAGAAGAGCTGGATATTCCTTCCTAGAATTATGGCAGATAAATTAACAAGAATTTCTATTGTCAACCACGACAAATGTAAACCTAAGAAGTGTCGACAAGAGTGTAAAAAGAGTTGCCCTGTGGTTCGAATGGGTAAGCTCTTCAGTGTGGATCACTTGAGGATAAGAGATTTTAAAAGGATTAAATTGGCTTCATAGTTCTAATTATAAGATAATGTATTAATATTAATATTTTTTAAAGTTTATTGAATATAAAATCAAGAGTTCAAGTGACTGAGATTCTTACTGTTCTACAAAATCCTTAATTATAATAGATAAAGGACTGCCATTATGTTTATATTTGATAATCTCACTTTAAAGAGCTTAATAAGAATGACTGTTCATGAGGTTTTGCTGTATTTTCAAGACTAAGTAAATTTATAGTAATTCAGAATTGATGAATTGTTGGTACTCTTTAGAACTATATTAAAGTAATTGTAACATTAAATGTACTAAGCTTTTTGAATCTTAAAAGAGACTTTAGATGTCATCTATTATAGTCTACCACACTGTTCAAAAATTCCATTGTTAATATCCCTGTTTGTATGCTAAGTTTAATTTTGTCTGTATATTAGGTGACTACTTACCTGTTTAGAACTTCACTGATCTAGCTAACATATTCCATTCTTTTCTCTGGTATGCATTACCATTTCCAAAGCATATTTTGTGAATTAAATATTTAGGTCAGTCAGCCTAAAAATAAAACTTTTAGGATTAGCCACAATTTTACTAGCATATTTTCTTCCCCAGTAGTAAATTAAACAAAACAAACATTTTAGAGTCATCATCCTCTTGCCTCCTAAGAGTATCTTTTCTTTTGCCAGGAAAATTATGCATTGAGGTTACACCCCAGAGCAAAATAGCATGGATTTCTGAAACTCTTTGTATTGGTTGTGGGATTTGTATTAAGGTAAGTGGTATTTTTATTTACCAGATCAAGTTTGTAACCTGAAAATGAAATCTGAACATTCTGAATACATTATAATTGTTTTTAAAGAGGCAAAATATAAAACAATGAGTGAAGTATATAAATTTAGTACTTATATCAATAACCTAATATTGCTGCTTTTTAACTAAGCCAGATTTTTATTTAAAAGTTATCCTCACCATACTCAATTTTATAAAGCCATTTCCAACCAAAATTAATGTTTTTTCACCATTTTATAACATTCTCCAGCAGTGTTTTCATCAGAACTTTTTATAAATATGAATACAAAAAATATGAGTTATATTACTTTTTTTTCAAGTCTGTATTTAATTTTAAATTTACACCTTTTAAATAGAAGTGCACATAGCCAAAATTATTCAATTTAACCTAATCTTTAAGTGGTTTTTCTGCTGTATTGTACATTTTTCTATTGTTGAATTTATTTCAATAGTGTAATTTTTCAAAATACCCCAATTAGTTTTTGTTGCATTGAATAGTTTGATTAGGGCTTTTGACTTAGAATGATGAATTTCCAACTTAAATTCATGAAAGATATTTCATGAGGAGCCAGTTCATGAAGTTCTTAATTTAGGTATTTTTATTCATAAATAGTATATTTTAGAAAGGACTTTTACTAGAGTATGGATACCACCCTGTTACTCATTCCAATAAGGCTTATGCGTACTTTGCATTGGTTTCTGAATCCTTAGTTAAGTATCAGGAAAGATTTTTGTACCTGAAAGCATTTTCCCTTATTTGGAAAATATATGCAGGAAACATTTCTTCCAGCAGATATTTGCAAGTCTCTTACATACCAATGTTCTGGGTGCTGGAAATCTGATTTTGAACAATATATTTTTAATTCTATGAAGAAAGACCTTTATTTTTTATTTTCACTGCTGTAGAAACATGAGGTTCCAAAATTTGGGGTACGCACTTCAGTGGTTGAAAAGATACTAATGTAATGAGTCTCTTTGGAGGTGGGGTTAGTATATACCCCCTGAAAACTAAGGCACTTCTAATGCACCTCATATATGAACAGTGTGGCTATCTTTCTCCTTGTAGATTTAGAGAAGTATAAATTACTTGCAGCCTATAAGCATTTTATGTACATTGATGTAATAAAAAGCATTCTATAAATGAGTTAACCTGATTGGCAGAAAAATATCATGTAAAGAACTAATAGTTTTGCTTAGAGGGTAGTAATTACTTTGTTAGGAAAAAAAATGTTATTTTTTAACTATCTATGTTCTTGTAACATAAAATAGGAATTCACTGAAATCTTTATATACAGAGACTTTTGAATTAGTCTCTGAGCTCACTGAACAGTTCTGGTAAACAGATCTCAAATGTGAGGTTATACTCCTTGGGATGTACCTTTTTTAAGCTATCTATACTTCCGATAAATTTTTGTAGCCACATTACCATTCTGAAATGACCCTCCAGTTCTTGCCATTCTTGTTCCATAGACAGTTACCTGATTGATACTCATTTGTTGTTTAAATACGTTTTTCTATGTATAAACCTTTTTTTAATGTGAATTTACTCAGTTGGAATATGAAGCATCTTTTTCATATGGGATGGTTAAAAATTACAGCAAAAAGTCATTAATCCATGCCCTGTTCAAATGTTATGCTAGCTGTTGTTGGGACATAAATAGACCAAATAAGGTACAATCCACGACCTTAAAGGACTTTACAAGGTAGAGACGGATGCATACAAAGACAGGAAAAAGGAAGTAGAGGGAAGGAATCTGTCATAGGCCGAATATGCAGTTGGATAGTAGTCAGTAACCATGTTTTATCTTGCCTCTTAGCCTTCTCTTATCTAATAATGTAAAAAAATACAGAACCTCCAAGTTCTATAAAGTTTTTCAATAAGTATTAAATGTCTAAGATTATGGCAGTGACTAAAGGGTAATGCAAAATTAGTTGGTACAATTCTTGCCTTTGAGAAACTTAATTTTTAAGTAAATAAGAAAAGGAAATAAAAAATATTTTACATCTTTATACAATTCCACATTCAGAATATTGCTTATAAAAAATTAATCTCTCCATTTTAGTCATGTGTATACATTTAAAAATTAACAAAAAATTAATTCTTTACTTTAAATAACAGAAATGCCCCTTTGGCGCCTTATCAATTGTCAATTTACCAAGCAACTTGGAAAAAGAAACAACACATCGATATTGTGCCAATGCCTTCAAACTTCACAGGTATATTTTCAAGTCAACATTCCTCTTTACTTCAGTCAAAAGTAAAATACATTTGGAATTTTCAGAGAAATGCAAAACTGGGGGGAAATTGTATTATCCATGCACTAAAGAGAAGTACAGTATTGTAACACATGCAGAATCATATTGTACATTTCAGTCTTTTATTCTGGCTAACATTATAATTACCTGGCGATCTTTTTTAAAACTACTAATGCCCAGGTGTCAGCCCAGTTGAATTACATCCTATCTCAGGATGAAAAGTCTGGACCTCAGTAAGTTGTAAAAGCTCCCAGATGATTCTAATATATAACTGGGCTTGAGAATCACTATTGTTAATAATACCTAAGTTCCCAAAATGACTTTTAAGGAAACTTGTCCTTGATTTTATTTATCTATTAATCTCATGATCTACAGAGAATATTACTCTGAACTTGTACATACATTGTTAAATTACCAGAGTCCTTTGAGGTTTTTAATCTGCTGAACACTAATATTTGAATCTGGAAGTCTAGGTTTAACTAATAAAAAGGTATTTCTCAACCTGCCAGCTTTAAAGGGCCTCCTGCAGCAGGGAGAATGAAGTGGAATATTTCTGGTTCATGTGGCACTTCTCTCCTTGTAAGTAAATGGCAGGCAAAAAAACTCAACAGTGTGAGGTTGCACCTGCTATTATATTTTTTACCAAAGCATTTTTATTATACATTAAAACTGAGCCTTATATGCAAAGAATTATTACTTTAGAATGGACTTTGAATAAAAGTTGAATAAATAAAACTTGGAGTAATATTGTCATAGATGCATTTCTAACAATTAACAGTTTAAGTTAATCTTGGCTGGGTTTTTTTTCTAATAGCCAATAATATCTGGCATATATCTTTTAGCTTAATGGATGTGTTTGGAGTGCAAGTGTATTAAAGTATGTCATTCTGATATTATGTAGCTTTTTCTACCTAAGTCTAAATTTTATTATTATTGTATACTTTTGACAGGTTGCCTATCCCTCGTCCAGGTGAAGTTTTGGGATTAGTTGGAACTAATGGTATTGGAAAGTCAACTGCTTTAAAAATTTTAGCAGGAAAGCAAAAACCAAACCTTGGAAAGTATGATGTATGTATTACCACCTTATAAACATGAATATCTTGGGGTCAGTTTTGTGAGACTTTGAAGGAGAGTGTATGTGTGACTTTTTTAAAAGTTATTTTCATTATTATTTGTGGAATTATTGCTGAGAAACTATATATAGGTGAAGCGCCTTCATTTTTAATTAAAATCTGTTGATGCTACTTAAGTGATTATTCTGAGCTTCGTTAAACTGTTATGAGTTGGTATGCCTTGATATGAAATTAAATCCTCAATCTTAAAATTAAGTTAGAAGCCAAAAGTATTCCATTTGGCCACATGTTGTATTTTATATAACAGTCATCCTCTTTGCAATTGTATTATTAAAATCAGGTCATTATATGTATATTTCTAGGATCCACCTGATTGGCAAGAAATTTTGACTTACTTCCGTGGATCTGAATTGCAAAATTACTTTACCAAGATTCTAGAAGATGACCTAAAAGCTATTATCAAACCTCAATATGTAGACCAGATTCCCAAGGCTGCAAAGGTCAGTTGAATTTATGTTTTACAGATATCAACGGAGGTATAAAAAGTATATCAAATTAAAGGAAACATTAAAGGAATTTTAATATTGAATTTAATTTTAATATTGGAGGAAAACAGTAATAACTATTTTTGTTACATTATGACAGGGGACAGTGGGGTCTATTTTGGACCGAAAGGATGAAACAAAGACACAAGCAATTGTATGTCAGCAGCTTGGTAAGTATTTTAATAGGCCCTAAACTTAAATCATAAAATATAAGTCTTTATATGCATTACTGAAATATATGGGAAAATCTCTGGTAGTTGTCATCTTTTTATGTTGCACAATTTTCAACTGAAATATTCAAACCCAGAATGACCTACAATATTTATTTTGCTTAGCAGAGGTGAAATAAACTTATAACATTAAACACAGTGCATCTATGTTCTTTGTAGATCTAACCCATCTAAAAGAACGAAATGTGGAAGATCTTTCAGGAGGAGAGTTGCAGAGATTTGCTTGTGCTGTCGTTTGCATACAGAAAGCTGATATGTAGGTTACCTTACACCTTTTATAGACCTCAATCCTTACTTTAGAGCTTTATTTGTTACACTGCTAATGAAGTTGTGGTTTTGAGAGAAATTAATACAAGTAGTATCTAAGATTCTCATTTTGAGTTAAGAAGTTGAAGCAGTTGCGCATCCCCTGCCCCTTCTCCCCATTCTTCCTGCAGGGGGAGAAGCATTTATTTAGATAAGTACTTTACAACTGATGGGGTCCACATCTTTTTAATGTGAAGTAGGTTGTTTATTATTTAAACTCTCTTTGTGCATAAGAAAGTTTAAGGCTTTCTTTGTGCATAAGAAAGTTTAAGGTTTTTTAAGGCTTAAGCTCCCCAACAAAGCCAGCAAGTTTTTTAAATACCTCAAGTAGAACGTGAGGTCTTTCAGGTTACTCTGAATCAGGATGGCATGCCATGTGAGAGTGAAAAGGGCAAAAGCTTCCTGCCTTCCAGGGCCCCTTTTCTCCCAGATAATTATTGCTCCCATCTTCTTCCATGTTTCTGCTCTGGCATCTAAAGTAGGCTAGCTCTTCTCCACAAAGTAAGTCCATGCATTGCCCTCCATTCCAGAAACTGTTTGCTTTAATTCAGCTAACTAGCTATTTAAGAGAAAAGCTCTCTGGATTACTTTGGACTATATCAGAATGTCTTTCATAAGCAGGTAACAATTTGTAAGGTAGCCTAATCTGGGATTGTCTCCCCATATTCAATATGCAGTCCAGCTTTTCGTAATTTCATTTCTTCTACTTCTGAACAAGATACAGGAGTTTTTACCATTACAGGGTAGACTCCTCTTTAGGAAAAGGGGATTTTTGTTGTTCAAATATAAACTCTATTACAGTGCTTTAAAATAACATGTAAGATAGAATTATGTCATGCTTGTCTTTCAAATTATGTTTGCTTTTTTTTTTTCATAGTTTCATGTTTGATGAACCTTCTAGTTACCTAGATGTCAAGCAGCGTTTAAAGGCCGCGATTACCATCCGATCTCTCATAAATCCAGATAGGTAGGTACAGACTTGCCATATGCCTATGTTATTTCATTTGGGGAGTTTTACAGATTTCTAAAGATTAAACACTAGGGCCATCAATATCATATACGTGTGTATGTTTTCTGTCTTGGTTATTTGGAGCTACCACTTGAATTTACCTTCCTCTATTTAGAACATAGGTTCTTAACGCAAGATTCATTTACTACTATGCCTGTTTCCAGAGAACTACAAATACTCTGAAATGCCTGCAAATTCTGGTACATATGAATGGGTTTCTGGGAAGCAGAACCTTAGCTCTTACCAGATCCTCAAATGGATATGTCACTCAGACACACACAAAATTTAGAACATAAGAATCAGAATAATTCCAGTTGTTCGGTGTTTTACCAAACCTAAGAGAACTCTCAACCTCTGTTAAGTAATCACAGCACCTTGTAGTTATGGGGTGCTTTTGCAGTTTGCAGAGTTTTTAAATCCATTATCTCGTTTGAGCCTCATAGTAATCTTCAAGGTAGACTCTTTAGAATATTAGGGATAAAAAAACAATCTTAGTTGGGCCAATAGTAGCTGTAATTTTTACCTTGTACATTGGCCTGGACATTATGATAGGCTCTTTGGGGAATGCAAGAATATAAGATGTAGTCCCAGTGGTCAAGGATTTCAGAGTCTGGTAAAGAAAATGCACAAATAGTCAAATCAATAGTTCTAAACCCTAGCTCCTTTTTATAAAATATTTTTATACACCTTTTTTATACTGAAATGTAAGTCATAGATAACTTACCTTCACACATAATTTTTTTTAAAAATATCAAGTAATAGCCTAACCATAATAAAAAGGTGAATGAAGAGGATAGTGATTTATAATCAGATGACATGTATCTCAGTTTGTAAATACTGAGACAAATCACTACAGTCCTATATTATCAGAGGACAGTAACCTTACTTGTAATAGGATAACATGTAAAAAATTAGATTAACAAAGTGAAGAAAATGGTTGAGTTAGACAATTGCACAAATGTTCAAGTTCTTTGATATAGGGATAAAATAATCTCTCTGCAGTGATAAATTGATAAAAAGTTATAAGAAATACATCTGCATCCTGAAATTCTAAAACATGTCAAGACATTTGATCTTTAAGTGCTTTGCAAAGATTTGAGAGATCATATCCTTAGATAAACAACAAGAAAGAAGATGGACTAGAGAAAGGAAAAATAATGCAAGAGATTCTTTCTCTAGCATTCGACCTCTAAGAGGTCATCTTAGAACACCTTCAGTAAGATTAAAAACCAACAGGTAAACCAAAATTAATTTTAGGGTATAAATTTTCACAGCATAGATTTCTCATTATGCTACAGATTTCTGTTTCTTCCCAAACCCTCAGAAAATAGAGTGGTCCTCCTAAATTTTTTTACATTTTGAACTTTTGCATAAGCTCCATAAGTAGGGAAAGCAGGAGGTTTGACCTGTTCTGTTGTTGTTTCTTTTTAAAGTAAATTAAAAGCCACTAGATAATACTATGCTGCAGTATATGGGCCTTGAAGATTTTTTGGTAAAAAGTAGAGAATTATTCCAGATAATGGAACATTGCCAACAGAGACACAAGGCAGGATGAATACTGGCTCACTATTTCCTCTTTATATTAAACTTGCCCCATGTTTTTTTTTTTCATTCCTACTTTTACTACCTGACACCCGGATTACTATGATAGCTTCCTTTTAAAAGGTCTGTGGTTATTCTTGCCAGATTAATCTTCCTGAAACGATATTTTTTTATGTCACTTTTATTCTAAAACTATACTGTAGCCTCTAGCCATATTTTGCTATTTTTATTTTAATAGAAGTTAAAAATTCATTTCTTTAATCAAACTATTTACATTTTAAGTGTTGCACATTCCATGTACTTACTTGCTACCATATGGGACAACATAGAGAGATAACATTTCCATAATTAGGGAAAGTTCTACTGGACAATACTGCTTAAGAACCTATCATTTTCCCCATTGCCAATTAGCATAAGTCCAAATTCCTCATCTTGTCATTCAGCAACTTTATTAAATATGTTTGGTACATATTACAAGACTTTGTACATAGTACAAGAGTAAAGATCATCGAGATGCAGACTGCAGTCTCTCTTTAAGGTGTTTGGGGCAAGTTGTAGGGGTACTCAGAAAGTCCAAGTATTAGATCAGTGATGAAGGTTCAAGAATGAGGGAAAGAAAATTCATTTGCCTGTTAGGAAAGGTGTCCCTACAGAAGTTAGGATTTGAGATGGTATTGGGGGGACTTCAACAGGTGAGGATTTAGGCAGGAGATCTTTCAGGAGATAGAGTACCCCTGAGACACACACAAATGGAAAAGTGGATTGTTCAGGAAATAAAGATCCATTTTTCAGTGTGCCCTATATATAAATGAAATAAAAACAGTAGCTTAAGTTTTAGAAGGTCTTAAAAGAAAGTCTAAGGATGTTACTTGTCAGGCGACCTGAAGAAAATGAGATTTGTCTTTCCCAGCTACAATGAAAATGATCAGGTTAAGGCTTCTGTCACATCCTCCTCTCTGCATCCCTGACCACAGCTAGCCAGGTGAATAGCCTAATAATCAAACAGTTTAGGTTACATCTGATTTAAATCTATTAATTGTTTGTGCTTTGTAAAGTGTATTTAAAAATATATTTATTAGTAAAACACATTTCTTATATCCATAAACAATTTCATGTTAACTCTTTCTTTTAGTTTAGGGTACCAGTTTGAAATATGAACATTGGTAGAGTCCTAAAGAAATATTTTATGGCTTTTGTTTAATATGGTCTTTACACTTGATTTTTGAAAAATATCTCTTTTCCTGAAATTTATACTGTGGTTAAAAAAAATGTTATGTGGCAATTATAATAAAATATAATTTTAATTTTATCATGTATATTCTGTTACATTTTAAATCTGTATTAATTTTCAGATATATCATTGTGGTGGAGCATGATCTAAGTGTATTAGATTATCTCTCAGACTTCATCTGCTGTTTATATGGCGTACCAAGTGCTTACGGTGTTGTCACTATGCCTTTTAGTGTAAGAGAAGGTAACTTGCAAAACTGTTTTCACAGTGCTCTATTCCTTTTGCTCTACTGCTTAGAAAATGTATCATTGTCAATACTAAGTAGTTACATATGTCAGTCTAATATTATTTATCTAAAACTGGTCTCATGGAATTTAATCACTCAAGAGAATATGTATTATATATATGGTTATATTCATTAGTTGTGATACAAAACCTTTCTTTTTGGAGAATTTCCTGTTGGAGTGGGTAGAAATGCTCTATCAGTTTTACTATTTATTTGCTATATTAAGTTTCTTTTATATTTTAGCTTCTGTAGAATCATTGTATTATTTACCACCTTCAACTTCATCTATGACAGGCCAATACCAATAGTGAAACTCCTAAAATTCATTTAGTGCTTATCTTGTTTTAAATGTATGTTATCTATTCTAAGTTTGTAGAGCTAGGGCTGCCTAAAAGTTCAGCATAAGGTAGTTTAGTAAGTATATATTACAGATTAGCAAGTGACTAGAAGAAGTCTAGTAAAATAGCTTAGTAAGTATATTTTTTATGTATTCCTTCTACTTTCAGGAAAGAGGGACTCTCTGGCCTCTCTTTTCCATGCTCTTCCCTACCTAAGCAAGTTAGACAAAAGTAAAAACTAGCCTACCACTAAGTGGCTCCTGAAACAATATCAGTGCACTCTCCACCTGGTATGCCTTTTCCTTTTAATTTTTTTCCCATTTCCTTCCACTGCTTCCTTTTATTTTACTTTATATTTCTTCTCTTTGGCTTATGCCTTAAGCTGAGAATTTAGAACACCTAAAAGGACTACTTAGTCCATATCTTGAAAAAATACCATAATTTATAAGTGATAGTTTTTGAGGTACTTAAGACACTTTTGGAAAAAGAAATGTGTTGGATTATACATTTTGCATAAAAAGGCAGCAGTAGCTTTTTAATTTATAAAAAGTACATAAATATTTTAGTTTAAGATGTGGGGAAGGATTTGTTATCACTTCTTCTTCTTTGAAGAAAATAGATGCATAATTTAAGGGAAAATGTGTGAGATTGCTCAGCTAGTAGTCTTAAAGAGATGATATCAGAAACATTTATGTCTTATTTGTTTCAATTAGCCAGTATTTATTGAGTACCTACTCTATGGCATATAGTAGTTACAGTTCTAGAGTCCTGTTGATAATGATGTGGATGCCTGGCAATCACTCTTCATAATTCTAGTTATAAATGCCATTGAAGAAATAATTCCTGGTAAGGCTTTTAATGCGCCTTATCTGTTAAAACAATTCAAATAACAAACCACTTAATCTTTCTGCTTTCCTTTAGTATGTTAGTTTATTTTCAGTTTTTAAAACCTTTTAGATAATGGTGTTTAACTTTGTATAATGAAGCCAAAAATGTCAAATGAAATTCATTATAAATTTCTTACAAACCTGCAAAAATAGGTAGGGAAAAAAATGCAGTAAATAGTAACTTGAATGTATTATTATAGCTCATGTGAAAATGAGTACTTGTAATTTAAATTATTTAAAAAATTTATTTCCCAAATAATTTTATATCATTTTATGTCAACTTATGAAAATATCCCATTTTTACTAGTCATTTTTAGAGAAAAATTGCAATTTTTGACATAAAAACTAGTAGAAATGGCTTCATATGCTTTTGCATTAAGCCTGATGAGGAAAAAAATCTTAAAAATCACATCGTAATTAAAGGATGTGCTTTGTATGTTTGTGTATACATAGGCACATATATATGCATGAATTATTTAAACTTTCATTAGATACATAAAACAACATGTTGTCACTGCATGTTATCATCAAACCTACAGAAATTTAAAGTCTATGCTTGCAATGCTCCCAAGAGTGCCTGGAGTTGGAAAGCTATTACATAATAATAATTTCTTGCTATAGAAAAAGTTTAGTCTTTAATTGATCTTTACTAATCTATTAATAATGACTTCTCAACAGGCATAAACATTTTTTTGGATGGCTACGTTCCAACAGAAAATTTGAGATTCAGAGATGCGTCACTTGTTTTTAAAGTAGCTGAGACAGCTAATGAAGAAGAAGTTAAAAAAATGTGTATGTATAAATATCCCGGAATGAGGAAAAAGATGGGCGAGTTTGAACTGGCCATTGTAGCTGGAGAGTTTACAGATTCCGAAATCATGGTGATGTTGGGGGAAAATGGTAAGTTTTTCTAATTTTGTGATATTAGAACATCTGCTTTGTTTACCTAGTAACTTAGTTTTAACTACTCCATGAAAAACTTGGACTCACTTATAGGTCTGGAAGTTGGATTGAAGCCATACATTTCTCAGTGTAGTTCACATTTTGTGACATTGTATGATTTAATCTGTCATTTAGTTAAGTTCATATTTCTTATTTTGTTTCATAACTAGTAAAAATAAGGGTTTTTTAAAATCTGGTTTTTCTATGTATAAATTGATGGGCACAGGATACTGACTAGGAATGAAGGAATATTGGTAATTCAGAAGCAATCAAGTTTTAAATTTCCTTGCACTCTTTCTTTTGAAAATTATTTCAAATTCAAACTAGTCTACCTTTGTAAATAGATATATTACCAGCATTTTTAAATATTAGGTTGCCATCATAAATATAATTATGAGATGAATCTAAGTACCAAATATCTGGTATTGCTTTCATGATACCAGATTTTTCATGATTTAAAAAAAAACAAAAAAATTTGTATACTTACAGCTTACAAAACGGTAGAAGAAAACTTTTTATGAGGATTGTTGCAATGTATCAGCCTTTAGTTAATGGAGGAATTTTGAACTGGGTTGCAATTAACTCAAATATTTCATGTAAATGGACTTTACAGTGATGGTGTATCAATCATAACAATACTATCTTAATAAATTGTGTGCAGTGACATTTTAGCTAAAATCTTTTAAAAAGTAGCCAAAGTCTTATACTTTATAGGCCTGTCACTTATTTAAATGATCATTATAAGCTTTAGCTAATTTATATTCCTAATCAGTTGAATGATACTTGAGAGGTGAATCATGAAAGTTTAAGGATTTGTCTGCATAATCTTCAGAATTCAGTAGTGTCTATGTGTATCTTTAAAACTAATTTCTCCATTAAAACCCAGTAGTACATGGTAGTTTACTCTAAATATGAAGCACCTTTCAGGTCAATTTGTTGTATGTTGTGTTGCCAGGTACTGGTAAAACGACATTTATCAGAATGCTTGCTGGAAGACTGAAACCTGATGAAGGAGGTACTGTTGTAATCTTGATTCCTTCTACTCTGTTCCGCTTAGTAAACTTTAAAGGTTTGGGCAGTTTTCAGTGTCTTATTTATTTGCATTATTTTGCAGGAGAAGTACCAGTTCTAAATGTCAGTTATAAGCCACAGAAAATCAGTCCCAAATCCACTGTGAGTTGTTCTGTTATTTGGTTATTAAAGTTTATACATATACCTATAACTTTAATCTTTTACTATATCAAAATTATCAGAAGTGTCTAAAGAAGGTATTAAAACTATAGTCCTTGATTTATTTCCACTACTAAGAAAATGCTTTTAAAACCTGATAGGCATCTTTTCCCAAAATGAACCTTTAAAAACCTAAAGTGTTTTATGCTGCAAATAACACCATCAAGAAAGTGAAAAGGCCACCCATGGGATAAACTACTTGCAAATCATGTATCTAATAAGGTACTCATGTTTAGAATATATAAAGAACTCTTAAAACTCAGTTTAAAAATGGGCAACAGATTTGAATAGACATTTTTCCAAAGAAGATACACAAATGTTCGGTAAGCACATTAAAAGATGCTCAGCATCGTTAGTCATTAGGGAAATGCAAATCTAAACCACACTGTAATAACCATTTCACACTCACTGGGATGACTTAAATCAAAAAGAATAATAAGTATTGGTGAGATGTGGAGATACGGAACCTCATACATTGCTGGTAGGAATGTAAAATGTGCAGCCACTTTGAAAAACAACCTGGCAGTTCCTCAGACAATTAAATATAGTTACATGTGAACCAGCATTTCCACTCCTAGAGAAAGGAAGACTATCTCAACACAAAAATTTGCACACAGATGCATTATTCATAATAGCCAAAATGTGGAAATCAGCTCATGTCTGTCAACTGATGAATGGATAAACATGTATATCCATAAAATTTGGTCATAAAAATAAATAATAATACATGTTACAATATGGATGAACCTTAAAAACATGAAATTAATCTCTAGTTTCTGCAGGTGTTGTAATGAACTTCTTGACTATAGTATCCATACTCAGTACCTCAACACTTACATAAGTCTATTTGAGATGGCTTAGCTTACAATAAAAATTTTATCATTGATAATTTCTATAAGCTTACCTTTTAAGTTCTCAAACTCAGACCTCTCCTGAAATATCAAGAAGTGGGCATTGTATGACCAATCCCTATCAGTTTTTGTTATCTTATTGATTAAGTAAGGTTACTTGATACCCATGTCGATCTTGAGAATTATTCCTATTCTCAAATGACTTCTCCCCTGAAATACTCATGATTTACTACTTTCAAATTTCATGATTGTTTGTTTTACTTTTTTGGCATGATGGGTTTTTAATTTAAAAATTTAAAAATGTGCCGTAGATGACAGATAAGCATATAAACAATATTGATATCTGTTGGTGGCAAATTGATATACTTTTGCTCTGGAACCTAACTTTGTTACAGTTCATAATTACAGTACTGTACTGAAATAAACTTTTCAGTATTTTTCCATTAACAACAGGGAAGTGTTCGACAGCTACTACATGAAAAGATACGAGATGCTTACACTCATCCACAATTTGTGACTGATGTAATGAAGCCTCTGCAGATTGAAAACATCATTGATCAAGAGGTACTCTAATTTTTTTGTTATTTTATTATTTTAAACTGGATGTCTCTAAATGTTTTGCTGAATTTCTCCAAATAGGTGCAGACATTATCTGGTGGTGAACTGCAGCGAGTAGCTTTAGCTCTTTGTTTGGGCAAACCTGCTGATGTCTATTTAATTGATGAACCATCTGCATATTTGGATTCTGAGCAAAGATTGATGGCAGCTCGAGTTGTCAAACGGTAATGACCTGCTTATAAGAGTATTACTTTTGGTTATGTGTACTAGCATACAACTGTGCTTAATATAGCATTTGAATATTTGAAGATATAAAACTGTAAAGATTTTGAAATCGTGTGTTTTAGTTTCATACTCCATGCTAAGAAGACAGCCTTTGTTGTGGAACATGACTTCATCATGGCCACCTATCTAGCAGATCGGGTCATCGTTTTTGATGGTGTTCCATCTAAGAACACAGTTGCAAACAGGTAAAACTACTTTCTAAAAGATTCAACCTTATTATAACTTCTAACAATCAGAAACTCGTTATTTAAATTTTTCCAGTAAGTTTATAAACATTACTCATACCATTTAAATTTTTTTTTTAATCCTCACCAGAGAATATATTTTTACTGATTTTTAGAAAGAGGGCAAAGGAGAGAGAAAGAAACATCAATTGGTTGCCTCCCATGCTCACACCAACTGGGAATCAAACCCGCAACCTTTTTGGTGTACGGGATGATGCTCCAACCAACTGAGCCACCCGGCCAGGGACTCATACTATTTTTTTTAGAGAAAGAAAGAGATAGCCAGAAATTCTAGAAATTATTCTATGACCTCCAAGATTATTCACATGGAATACTGAATGGAACCCAGTAGAATAGTAGTTTTCAGGCTATTAGTACAGAACAGCTGGCCCAGAGGGATAAGTATATAGAGTTCTGGGCCCCTCACCTTTTCATTTATGTTAACTTTTATCTGTATTATTTGGATTTCCAAAATACCGTGGGATTTGGGGTTTGTAGTAACCTTGGAAACCGTGTCATATATGACAGATAAAATAAGATCCACATAGGTTACATGATTGCCCAACTGACAGTAAACACCAAATGTAATGATTTATACCGTTGTCCCTTTTTTCCTATCATTTTTTGCTTACTGGTTTGATTGAATTTGTAATGTAGAGAAGCCTAACATTCAAATCAGTTTGAGAGAGATTTCTTATCCTTTCAGTGCTAAAACCTTGTGTTAGGTTGAACCATATGAAATTACTATATTCAGCCATTTTTTAATTTTTTTTTACCTATAAAAACATTAATTTCATGTGATCCCAACATAATGCTTTCTGGTGTTAGAAAGGAATGGAGTTGCTATTTTAATAATTTATCCAAGAAATACAAGTACTTTACTGAACTTCCCAGAATTTCTTTATTTTCATTGTAAATTTGTACATCAGTTACTAAAAATCACATATTTGAGAGTTAGGGAAATTTCTTAGGCCACATAAAGCTTATTTACTCAAATAATGATCCTCTCTTTGTATTTATGAAATGCTTTAAAATGTTCCGCATGTATGATGTGATTTAATGTGATAGAAATGAAAAAGCATAGAAGTTTAAAGTTCTTCTCACTAAAAACCATTATGTTGTACATATTCCCTCCATTGCCTAATTTCTAATATAAATATTACCTTTTTTGTGAAATACTCTTCTCACCTAAAAGTGTCATATTTTAAATTCTGTAATTTCCTAATTCTAATTAATGATCTTTTGTTTTTCTAAAGTAGTACTTAAATGTTTCTTTTTACAGATCACACACACGTTAAACTGTGTTTGTTTTCCACAAAAATATTATAGCCAAACATAGATATTTCTGAACATAGTTTTTAATATGCTATGGTTATACTTCTATCCAGGTGACTTAAGATTGGGGAATTAGAAAGAACAGTGATTCTTTATTCTCTTTATCCCAAAAAGTAGTTAAATTTAGGGAGTAAAATTTAATCACAGTTGATCTTATTTTTTTCTAGCCCTCAAACCCTTTTGGCTGGCATGAACAAGTTTTTATCTCAGCTTGAAATTACATTCAGAAGAGACCCAAACAACTACAGGCCACGAATAAACAAACTCAATTCCATTAAGGTATGTAGAAGGGCTGTCTTAAATCACGGATAACTTCCGTGTAAATCACTGACAGGCGTGTTTCAGTTGGGAGACTGCTTCATTAAAGTCTGTATTAGGCGCACAGTTTAACACCTGATGGCATGCTTACGTCTTACAGGCAGCAGTTGTGATGTCACTGCCGCTGCTGCCTGAACTCTGACAGAGCTGTCGTGTCGTCTCTGAGTTGTGCCCTGTCATACCACCTGTGTTGTCATTTAAAATGCCTTCAGAAAGATTACACTAATTCGCCATTGAAACAGGTTTCTAAGAATACCTTAATCAGTTTATGTATTTTTCTTTTTGTGCATGCACAAGAGCAACATAATTAAAATGTATAATTTAAGCATCTAAACAAGCTCCAATGAGTATAAAATTCTAAACAGTGGGAAAATATTTTGACAGTTTAATTGGCAGTTGTTCTTTCTTTGTGATACCTAAAATAATTGTGCGCCCTGCACTTGATGTAGTCTGTGAAATATTGTTTGTTTTTAGAAGGCAATAGTGTCTTGGTCTCTCAAAAAAAAGTGAATGAACTCTAAAACACCATTTGTTTTTATATCCCCTGCAGTGCTGCTTACATTTCATGGTCCTCTGGCCATGACACTTAATACTTTAGAACGTTTAGAAGTATGTTATATATACCATACCTGTAGCATTCACTCCCTCACTCCATTTTGTTTTGTACTATGCTGGTTTTGCAACTAAACCATGAGTTCTTGGAAGGCAGAGAAGAGGTCATCATATAGGTCATGTAGCCTTTAGCCTTCAGTGTATTTTGTTTATAATGACTTGTTACTCAGTGGCCAGGAGAATGAAATGACAAATACTAACTTAAAAATGAAGAGTTTTTTCAGTTTGGGAAAACATTAAGGAGAAAAGAGGGTCTAAATTCTAGAACACTTATTATACAAAGCTTAATTGTCCTAAGAATTTCTTCTGTATTATGAACTTATGTATTAACTTTTTTGTTCTTTTATATATTTTTTTAATTTGTTTTGTTTGGGGTTTTTTCTTTTTTATTGAATGAACACTTTGTATTGTAGGGGGGTTTTTGTTTCTTTTTGCAGAACCTTATGGTTCAGTTCTTTCTGCCCCCTCATCTCAGGCATACCTTAACCCTATTAATGGAGCAGTTAGGCAGATAGGTAGATGGATCATTACTGGACAGTCAGTAAACATACTGGGGAAATTTTTTGTATGTTTTGTGTAACAGGTAGTTCTCAATCTGACAATATGGACCTATTGTACCAGGAGCTTAAAGTTAACATGATGAAAATGGAATTTAATGCTTTTCCTGGAAACAATATTTTATATAGCAACATTTTATGAGTGTAAGGCATTTTATGTAAAGGGGCTTTGCTTGAAGTGAACCAAGGGACATTTTCTGTAGTAGAGCTGGGGAGCAGAGGTAGTAATCTTGCCTTTAAGTAGTGGACCCAGGAATATCCAGAAGCAGATGTGAGTGCAGAGGGGGTTGTACACAGTTGTAAACACCACTAACACTGAGTGAAAGTCTACACTACATGTAGGAAAAGTGTTGATTTTTGTTGCTTCTCTATTTTATTTTTTAGGATGTAGAACAAAAGAAGAGTGGAAACTACTTTTTCTTGGATGATTAGACTGAATCTGAAAATATTGATAAGCCATTTATTAAAAGAAACACATTTACTGGGATTTTTGTCATGCCCCACATACTCTAGAGCCTGAAGTATAATTTACTTAATGTAACATAAGCCAGTTGTGTTGTAAATTGTAGTCTGAACACAAAAAAATGCCACTTTTCTGTTCTTGTTGAGGTCCTTTTTGTGCGTAACATTCTGAAATGATCACATCTCAAGCTATACTAATTACCTCCAAATTTTCATGATGTGTGGGAAGATTTTCAATACATGTATTATATTCATATACCAAATGCTGACCAGTTTTGCCCCCTTTTAAAAGTCTTGAAAAAGGTTTCTGTACTTACATGGTTTGCCAAGTATACCAATATAATGAACTGCCCTCATTTTAAAAGCCAGCTGAAGACTCCACTGATGAATTTTGGTAAATAAACATTAGGATTATATTTGTTATTTGTTTTCAGTCTTTGCACTATATTATCAGTGTGTTTAGACTTTCAAAGGAAGATATCTACAAAACACCACTGTCAGAAAATGGCTGTTACTAACAACCATTGTTTATAATTTTTGGTGGTTTTGAATATTTTTATAAAAAGTCATTTCAATACTCCCAATCCCCACCAAGGAAACACCCTAACTTTACTTTGATGTACTCTGTTTTAGCATTCCATAAGATTCTATATTCTATAATTACTCTCAAGGCAATGGTTTCTTTAAACATACGTTTATATAATCACTGATCATGATTTAGGAAAAAGTATTGTAAAGAATACTTGCTTCCCTTGAAAGTATAGGCTCAAAATCTTTAGAGTTGGAGCCTAAGCATTTATGTATTTTCAAATTTCCAGATTTCTGATGGGCAGCCAAGGACTGTTTTACCTAAAGGCAGCATTAATGCAAACAAGTCCCCAGATAGCAATACAAAGTATCCCTTGGTACCAGATACACTCATTTCTAAGTTTGGACACAGAGAACATTAAATCTTCACTTTTTTTTTTTAAGTTTTGGATAGTGTAAAGCAAGAGTTCTAAATCCAAGTCCAAGTTCTTCAGTTCGAGCACTGGGATCCTGCAGTGTGAAACCACTTTCAGTTATACTTATAATGCAGTGAACTGGAACATGCTACAAAGAGTTTACTAAATAAATTAATGGGGCAAGCAAAATAGAGGTGAAATTAGAAATTATTGAACAGACTTTTAGAGCTGCTTTGATTGATACGCAAATTGGACAGAAAATATAACTGGGCCCCATTAGACCTTTTAAAAATTAATGTAACCTATAAATATGTGTGTGTTGTGAAAATTTCAAAAATACAGAAATCTATGGAATAAAGTTATGATCTCCCTTCACATTACCTTCCCAAAGGTTACCAGTGTTTGCATTTAATGTATATTCTTTCACACTTTCTGTGCACCTACCTAAGTGTGAATATGTAAAGGGTTTGTATTGTATATAAATGGGATTATACTAAAATATGCAGTAGTACCTATTTTTAAGGATAGGTTAAATTTGTGAATGATTATTTCAAATATATTGAATAAAATAAGCCCAAAAGCTATTTTTATTTACTGATTCTGTATTCTGTCTAAAGAAAATATATATTAAGAGCACAGTTCTATTTATTGCTTATGACAGAATATATATTGTAATATTTTTTATGTAGATGAAATTTTTAAAATATGGATTTAGATGTTACTTAAAATTTTACATAGCAGTAGAAAAGGTCTTACAGTTGCTAACAAAAAAGATTTTCTATAAAGTCAGTATTACTGACTCAGATAAACCAGCAGTGCAGATGTTAGCTATTAAAAAGCATGAGACTGTTTAATATGTCCTGATTGGAAGAAATCTCTAATTAAAAAAGCATGGTGCAATGTTTTGTAGAATATACCATTCATGTGGAAATACACAAAATATTAAAGGATAAAAGGATACTCAAGGAGCTAATGCTTTGGGGAAGAGTAACTTGATTAAAGAACAGAAAAGGTGACATATAAACACATATACCCATTATCTTTTGAATTTTGTACATATCAACTGTTTAGAAATACTTGTTTTTAGCACCTTGAAGTCCAATCCTGTATCTCTCTTGCTTAGAATTCAATGTATAGCTTGGTGTCTAGCATGTAGTTTGCCTACTGTATTGAAGGATTGAATCTACTTACAGAAAGTAGGAGACAGGATAACTACTTGGTTAACATTTAGATACATGTATGTCAGATTTAACCCAGTGCCTGGTGTATCATGAGAACTCATTGGTTCAGATGAGAAATAGCTGTGTTGGAGAGTCAGAAAGGGCTCCTTGAAGGAGGTAGCTCCCAGGAAAAATACCACCTATAATGAAAAATGATAAAATAATCCATGTAAAGCAGAACATATGTCAAATCATAGACAGAAATCGGCTTAGGCACTGAGGTTAGTGAAAGGATGCTACAGGCAGATTGTAGTGGACTTTCCATGCCTTCAAGATTCAAGTTAAGAGGTTTTTACATGCTCAGAGTAGGGATTGAAAAGAAAGCAAAACCAGCTAGAAAAGCAGCTAGAATGATCAAGATAGTATTTTGGGAATTTAATTTTTATTCCATTGTCATGGTTTTTTTTAATATATCTTTATTGATTTCAGAGAGAGAAAGGGAGTGGGAGAAACATCAGTGATGAGTCATTGATCAGCTGCCTCCTGCACACCCCCAGTTGGGGATCGAGCCCACAACCCAGGCATGTGCCCTGACCTGGAATCGAACTGCGATCTCCTGGATCCTAGGTCATGCCCAACCTAGGGCCACTCCCGGCAGGGTTTTATTCCACTGTCTTAATCTTTTGAAACATTTTAGAGCCTGCCCACCTAACACTTGCGTCGCTGTGTATTTTGTCTGCTATGTCTTGCTCTTGGGTTGTTTCCTTGTATAATTTTGGTTTGTGAGCTCATGTTCAGTGAGGCTTTCCCTCCCAACCTCATACTTCCAGCACCTCCTTCCTTACCAACTTGATAGGGTAGGCACTGTGCAGTCTCACACAGTAGTTCATAATTGGGCGAAGACAGTTATGACAGTTCTCTTCCGTAGACTCCTAGTCTCTCTCACAGCTAGACATGGCTATGTTCACCCAGTCCTAGCCACAGAATTGAAAGTAGCAGTCTCTTGGGGGGGGTGAGGGGCCTGTTTCTGGAAGCCCTCTTGCTTTCCTAACAAAAAGATATCTGGTAGCCCAGCGGGCGTGGCTCAGTGGTTGAGCATAGACCTATTAACCAGGTCATAGTTCAATTTTATCAGGGCACATGCCCGGGTTGCAGGCTTGGCCCCCAGTGGGGGGCATGCAGGAGTCAGCAGGTCAATGACTCTCTCATCGATGTTTCTGTCTCTCCCTTTCCCTCTTTCTCTGAAACCAATAAAAACATTTTTGGCTTTTTTTAAGTGTCTAGTACTTATTCTTGTGGATGTGTTATGCCCATAAAGTGACACAAACACCAAGAATGCCACAAGGATGCTAGTCCTGACATGTAATCAATAGCCACTTCCCTCCAGGTATCTTACAAAAGGGAAATAAATGCCTATTTGTTTAAGCTACTATAAGTCAAACTGGTTTTACGTTAATTAAAATAACCTTGGCTTCCTTGACTGAGGTCTATCCAAAAGTTTTCAGTTTGCTTCTTCTAGGTGACCCAAGTGTACTTCCAGCTTGGAACCACTTTTCATCTTAGTTTGCAGATTCCTGGACCTCAAGCCTAAACAGATGTGGTAGAGCATTATGTTTTAAGCCAGGCCAGGAGAGGCTTGTCTTATAGGAAATTCTATTAACCATTATTGCTCTTTTTACTGGGGTGCTCCTGGCTTGAATGTAAATTTGTTCCAGCTCCCAACCTTGCCTGTGCCCAACTCTGTCTCCCCTGTATGCACAGTTCTCAGCTCATGAGGCTACCAGTCATCCAATAATCCCTTCTCCTAGAGCACAGCCTTAGTGTGGCTTCCTGCCTGTGCCTCTAGTCTCCATTTTTGGCCCAATTTGTGAACATACCTTATAAAATTAGAGGGCTTGTGTGTTTTTACTAACTCCTGATTTAGAAAGTAACTTACAAAAAAAGCATGCAACAAGTTACACACTAACAGGTATATTCCCTGAGTAGGTATATAGCATTACTTTTGTTTTCTACTCCATCTGAAGGCAATTAGTCAAAAAATTAGCTCACTACACAATTTTTTATGGGAATCAATAACATCAGTTCAGTTTCATTAGACTATTGAAAGGCATAGGAGGCCTTATGAACCCACTGTTCATTTTTTGTATTTATATATTTAATCTTTATAAGACTTTTGTAAATGTGAGAAAACGTAATCACAAGACTGGTATGTATTTTAAAATGGTTGATTTTGAAGCTCTAATGAATTCCTAGATTTTAAAAAACCTAATAGGACATTCTTACCAATGGCTGCAGCTTCACTATTCTGAGTGGAAGATTCACTTTTGGAAGAGTTTCTTATAGTGTCTCTGAAGAGAAGTTGTATTTACTTACTTTTGTAGTTTATATATTCTCATACTATTCCCTAGACATGGACCTAAAAGTCAAAGTGAAGTGAAAATATAAAATATTCCAAGTGAAAAGCAGCCCCTTCTAATTATAGAAAACCTATGGAAACCCTGGCTGAGGCACACTTCTTGAGGATCACTGGTCACTTGGTCTTATCTTGTTGACTTACTGGCCACAGACCCTGGCACTCACATAGCTAACAAGTAAATGCTTCCTTCCTCTTTTCTTCCTTTCTCCTCCTGATCCTACAAGGTTCTGTGATACTCTACTCGCCACCACAAGCAATCCATAAAAACTGGCCTCTCTGACTAACTTTAATCCTTTCCGGGATGCTGCCCGTTCCTAGATCACCTTTCTATCAAAAACTTGTACTTGGCCTGGCCAGCCGTGGCTCAGCGGTTGAGCATCGACCTAGGATCCAGGCGATCCGGGTTCAATTCCCAGTCAGGGCACATGCCCAGGTTGTGGGCTCGATCAATGACTCTCTCATCATAGATGTTTCTATCTCTCTCTCTCCCTCTCCTTTCCTCTCTCTGAAATCAATAAAGATATATTTAAAAAAACAAACTTGTACTTGAATGAAACCTTCAGTCTCTGCCTTCTGAGGAAGCCATTCTAAGACACAGTACATATTAGTAAGGAGATTAATCAAGTACTGACTACCCATACTCTTAGTTGATTTGATTTCATGAAAAAAATACACCCTTAAGAAGTGGGTTTACATTTATTTTAAAAAAGAAAACAACTTTCAAATTATTTGCTTGATCTTTCTTCAGAACAGAAATATTGAATAACTTTAAAAAATAAAAGGGCCATTTAATCTATAAATTACTCTTAGATACTTTATTCCCATTTCATGATTGCTGAAAAAATGGGAGAGCACTAGCTTTAAAACCTCTCTGCTAGGTTCAAATACAAATTCTATCACTTATTAGTTGCATTATCTTAATCAAATTTAATTATCCTGTCTCAATTTAGTTATAAAGTAGGGAAAAGAACAGTACCTACCCGTAGTTTATAAATTATCTTCTGACTGGATAAAAACCAAGGAAACCATATCTTATATCTTTGGAATTTTACTAAATTCCTCTTAAACTTTATATGCTATTATTAACCCTGGAACCAAAGAATCACAAGCAGAATCAACAGACAAAATTTAATATATGCACACAGTTTCATATAATGCAGCATCACACCATGTAGGGCATTTACTCTGATACATTCAGATATGTTTGAAACACTTAAGGCTACAAAACAGAACATAGAAAAATAAACAGGAATATATTCAACACTTACAAAAAGTGATATGATAAAGAATATAAAGTACTATTTTCCTTTCAACACTTCAAAAGATATTTATATATATTTTTTACAAGTAACATCACAAATGATCACATCTTCACATGCTTTTAAAGTATTATTTGTACTCAGTGTAAGGCTATTATCATTTTTCATACTTAAATTTTTTCTAGCTCTTTAACAATACAATTTTAATCCATTCAAGTAAATTCAACCCCAAACTTGCTGTTTCCCAGCATTAAGACATGCACCCACCCCTTTTCTAGGATTTTCTGAAACTTATTTCAGGGGGGAAAAAAATCTCAATTAGTGGGAGAGTAAATGGCTGACACTAGTAGTAAAACCTTAGTTCTTTGAAACTGACATGCTGGAACTGAGCCACTAGTACTAAAACCATTATTAAGGTTTT